AATGTTGCAGTAAATAGTGTTCGAAGGAAATAAGGTGTCTTTGATGAAATATAGGATCGGGTTAGAGGGTCTCTTCCGAGTGTGTGACCACCCCTTGAATTTCTCTTTCCTTCTTCTTTTTTAGTTTCCTAAATATTCTGTCTTCAAAAGTTTAAAATGAAGCATCTGGCTTGGTTATCTACGTATCTTCACGAACAAAACTCATTATAATATTTAATACATCAACTAGAATAATAATTAGTTCTATATTTAGCATATAAGTACTAGGTATCTTTTAACTTGTAGTTAGAAATTATTTTTTAATGCATAAAAATTATCAAAAAAAAATTTTTTAGTAAAATTATTATTTCATAGATAGAATCAAGCATTGAATCTTAATATTTGCACTTAATAAATATTTAAAAAGTGTAGAAATATCGTATAAGATAAAAATAGTTATTTTTATGAAGTTTGACATATTAAATTAACATTTACTGAATTTACTTCGAAGTTCTGATATAAAAATTTTCTCATTTTTTCACTTTCTTTGTCTCTCATCTATGGGTGCAACATTTTTTATTTACATGAGACATTATTTTCCTTATTTTATATATCAAAGCACTATATATGGGGACATGTTTCTCCCATGTATGATCATTCAATTACGTGAGAATTTACTTACTTAAGCTTTGAAATCCTTACACCTATATCACCCCTTCGTTGTTAATACTGAGAATCTTTTGTTATAGGTTGTGGGTAAAATAAAACAGTGTGTGTGTGTTTGTTTTTGCGTTAAATGTTAGTCATGCACATTCTAAATGCATTATTGACATTGAAACTTTTGTACTTTTGCACGTCTAAGGCCTTTGAATGTGAAATCAAGCAAACACGGGTTGAGTATCAATTTTTGCCCTCAAAGATTATGTCCAAGTACAACTTCCTATGTTGAACAATTATCTAGGCTTATTTTAGTGAAGGCAGCTCAAAACATAATTAAAATAAGTAATTAGAACTATTAAATATTTTTAGAATTTTCTTTTACAAATTTCACTAAGAAGATAAAAATAAAGATTAAAAATATAGGATTCGGATTTCACTTGATTGTGAATCCAACACTTCGTAGCAGAGCACCCAACTTTTTTTTTATAAAGGTAGACAAAGCACACTTTGAGTTACCTTTGACTTTATTATCCTAATTCCAATTTCCTTGTTGATGATCTCATTTCCTAAATTAGTTATAACCTAATTTCCTTTAGTGAAACAATCTCACTAAGCTCTGTTGAAAAGCCGAATTCCGTAAGTCAATTAAAGCAAGGTTATGCAGCTAAATGGAGTTTAAGCAAAGATCACATAAACAATTATCATGGCACCAAATGCAAGAAGCACACTCATATCTAACTATTCCTGTCATAAACAAGAGCCAACACAATATTTGAATGATGATCAAGCTTCTAAAAGTGTTAATCATAACAATTGAAATGCAACAAAGAAAAACATTTGTAGAGTAATTCAATAAAGTTATCATCAATACCCAAATTACATTATTATCGTAGTAAGAGGGGGTTTAGCTGAACAAAAACAATTATAACCTTGAAACATATAAAAAAGAAAGGGAAAGAAGAAAACTTCATGAAGATAAAAAGTGACGATGAGAGACATTCTCCTTCATACTCCAATATTTAAGGAAATGTAAAACTAAGGCTCCCAAAATGTGTTTCCTAACTTTGGAGCTTGCAGAAATCAACCTTTTGGGAGATTGATTTTTAACTCTCTTGCCTTTTTATATTTGATTTTCACAACAGTTAGTGCCATGATGCCAACTTCTTAGCGTTGGGGATGCAGAAAATAATCCATGCTTAATTTCAATATATTGACATTAAATATTCAAATGTGGCTGTTATATATACTTCGCTTCTTTTCCTCGGCATTTATCTCACATAAACAATTATAAAAAACCCATTAAATCTGTAGCATTTACAATCTATCTAATGTCAAAAGATACAAAAAAAAAAAAAAAAAAAATTAAATGCAGCACATAGATACTCTTACTAATTAACAACTTAGATAAAAACTAATTTCTATGTCTAAAAGTCATTTTAAAACTCGATTATCATATTTGATATAGCCAAAATTTGTAACTTACCATTCGCCCTCCCGATTCATTCAAACAAATGTTGTGTTAATAAAAAAAGGTTGACAACAAGAGCATTACGGTTAACCATATATAGGTTATTTCGTACGCACCGTATTCCAGGTAAGAGCAATAAAATAAATGCCATATGAACTATATTTAGGTTACCTGTGCACCCCCACGATTACTTCCGTAAGTTTAATTTATATGAACAAAAAATAAATCTTACTTGGACTTTTTTTAGTTCAAACTCAATATATTATATATTCTTCTAGATTATTATTATGCATACTTATGATTGATTTCCCTTCATATATGTGTAAACTGTTCACCTTTTGACTACTAATCATGTATAAATTAAAATAAAAATTGATGATAAATACATAAGTCATTCATTTAGCATAAAAGATCTTACTTTATAATAAAAAAAACTTTAAATAAAAAATTTTTACTTATGAAATAGTTAGTTTACATGTTGTATCTAGGATAATGTTTGATAGCTACTCCTCTGTTAAATACTACACCACAAAGAAGATGTAAAAGCGATCTTGTTTTAATTTAGAGACCGCTTAGAACTTCTTTAAAATTTTATGTTATTCAATATATTGTATTTAAGAGAACAGTTAAATAATCACTCTCAAATGTTGATATTAGAGACAAGGTAGATATCACTTAGAGAGTGATTCATATAATTGTTTTTCAAAGTATAAATATGAACTACGAATTTAAAATTTATTTTTTATGAGTTTTTTTATTTCAAATCAAAATTAATTTATTATTATGATCAAAATTCTTTATTTTTATCACAGATCAAAATTAAAATTTGAGTTTATATGTTGTATTAACCAAATAGTCCACACCTGTAACACTAGTAGGATAGTTTAAGATTAATAAAAAAACAAAACAAAAAAAAATAGAGCTGTAGAAAAAGTAGAAACAGATGAAAAATATATCAATTGTGTTAGTGAGAAGAAAATGAAAAAAATCTACAAAGTAAAAGAGACTAATTTTGTTAGCAAGGTGAAAAAATTCACATAGTGTACTTCATTTATATAATAAAAAAAAATTTTAGGAACGGCTCTCAAAACTATATAGTATACATTAGAGAGCGATTTAACGCTAACCACTCTTAGAAAAATATATATATATATATTAGAGAGCGGTATTTTATTAACTATTTTCATCAAAGATAAACTTTAGAAAACGGTTCAATACTCACTGCTCTCTAAGTATATTATTATAATGCGATTTTTACTCATCGTTTGTCTCCCACTTTCATCTCTTCAAGGAACCCAAGCCTAGACTTTCTTCTTCCCCATGGTTTTTAATTAACACTCCCCTTTCCCTTATGAGCATCTTGTGAAGGCTGGAAACTTGCAAGGTCCACCGAGCCCCCCACTACCTAGCTTGGTTTGCAACCTTTGCGACACCAACAAGCTTGATCAGTAGCTAGGACTTCTACACTACCTCCTTTTGGGTCCATGCGCCTACAACTCCCCAAAAGCCTATACCTCCTACTTGAAGGACTTTCCCGTGATCCTTTGCAAGCTTTTAGAAGGTCCAAAAACGTCGACTAAACCCATAAAGAAGAGTGGTGACACAGAAAATAGGCTTTAGCTAAAGGAAGGGTCTAATAACGTTATTGATATAGAATTAACTGGTGAATAAATAACTAGTAAAAACAAGTTTTTTTTTACCAAAAGGATAAGGGTGGGGTACGAGATGGCAAGGGCCTTGAAAAAGACTGCATACAGGAATTGAAAACATTAAGGTACGTACTTGTTACATTAACGTGATTGAAGGAATAAAAAGTAACTTTTAAATTAGAATATAATCAAATTATGAGACTCAACGTTAGGCTTAAACTGTATTATTTTTAATTTCAACTTTGAAGCAGTAATTTTTAAGATATATAAATTAAAATATTGTTAACATCAACTTTTAAAACTAAATTCAAACAACTAAAAATAGTTATTTTTTATTAAAAAAATATATTCTATAAAATATAATAAATACTTTTTATAAAAAATTTATTATTAATAATTCTTTAAATTTTGTATTAAGGACTAAGTTTTAAAAATCAAATGAAACACTATCTTAGTTAAAGTTTTGTTGAAAGATCTTTATGAATAACTTATAAAAAGACAGTTTATAAATTCTTGTATGCTATGTTAAACTTACCTCAATAGATTTCGTTGTTATATTTTTTATATAAATTATTTTAAAAATTATTAAGTAAACTGTGTATTAAATATACTTGAAAATGAATTGTAGTATTTTTAAATTTGGGTTCAGCAAGCAAACATTTCTTAAATATTATGTTGTATATCGTACCAAAAAATAAACAGAGACAAGATTCTATCACGAAATTAAGTTCTGCAAGAAGCGCAGTCTAGCTATTTGATTTTCTTGTGAATAAAATCACCTTAAAATCATAAAACTAAATTTTAAGCCATGACTCTAAATTCAAAATATAGTACATACCTGAAAGGCGACAACTCAATTTGATGAGTATGTGTACGCCAATTACAGAAAGATAATAGAATATACATCCTCCAATTATAGAAGAACCTGTATCTATACCTAGAGAGTTGTGTAAGTGCGCGCAGTTTATTTCAGATGAGCTAAATCCATCCCTATCTTCATATTACCTACCGAAAGGATAAGCACGAGAAAAACAAGTAAAATTACTGAATATTAAAAAAAGTATTTATTTAATAAATTTTTATCATATAAATTATTAATATTATAAATATGATTATCAAATTTATTAATACAAGTTAAAAAAATTATATAAGAAATTTATTGAAATGAATTGAAAAAATAATAATGAAAGTTATAAATTATGTTTATAAATTTCTTCAGAAATTTTTGTGAGTACTCCATGAGTTCAAATTTTCCACCTGGCCAACTCCTTGCCCTTGGAGTTGGGGGGTGTGCTATTGCTTGCTAAACTCAAGTTGAGATCAACATCGTCATCAACATTCCGTACTCGTATGAAAGACTCTTTTGTAGCTGTGGTTGCACCCATTGGTCTCACAAAACGAAGATGATGAGGTCCCTCGGTGTCTAACCATGCATCATTTCGGAGCCAAGGTTCATGATGATGGCCACGTGGACGAACGGATGGTCCTGATCTTCCGTGTGGAACTATGATAGGGTTACGAGGAGGTGGTGTGAAGCGTTGATGAAAGTGAGAGACGGGTGAGAAAGCAGCGCTTTGGCGTTCTCTCTTGTGCGCATTTTGGTGGCCACCTAGTGCTTGAGAATTGGCGAATTCACGGTAACAAAATTGGCATTTGAATCTCTTGTATGTGCAACAAGGAGTGGTGTTGGTGTTCTCTTCATAGCATGGTGGAGTTAGTGGAAAACCAAATAGCTTCAACGTTGTTGAGTGGGGAGAGGAAGCTTTACCCTCAGCCTCAGTGTTTTCATCAATAGGGTTTTTTGATGTATTCATGCTCATTGGCTGGTTGAGTGTTTGGCTCTCGTTATGTGTGCATATATAATAGTAATAAGCAAAAATATTTCTTATTAAGTTATTATCTTATGCATATATAATAAAGTGAAAAGCCCATAAAAGCAATTTCATATAATACAACCAAGTATATCAAACGATATAGAACTGGATTTATAAATATCAATATATAATACACAAAATAATTAATATTAATTAAATATTGGAATCACGGATGGGACCAAAAAAATACTCTAACAAGTTCAGTAAAATTCAACGTTGTTATAAGTTTTACACATAAAAGTTTTGATGTGACACTGCATAAAGAAAAGATTGATGTGAAAATTGTTCGTATAATATTATCTATAAAATCAACTTGTAAAATACCAGTGGTACAAAGTAAGGGTTATGAATATATCTTTAGAGAGATTCTATGTATAAATATATTGTTTAGAGTATAAACAAATTTTAGAAGATAAAACACGAAAAATTATAAAATGTGTGAGACGACAGTTGAATGAAACAACTTAGTAAAGTTCCTCAAATTTTTTTATAATATATTAAAAATGCAATCGTAATTTATTTATGATAAATGTTAGTTATATTTTTTTTTCAAACATATATTCTTTATTATTTGATAAAATTTAATTAAAATTTATATTTAAGTTAATAAGTTCATTTATATATTTTAAATTTAAATAATTTTAGTAAATAAAAAAATATGTAAGAGAGTTTATTTTTAACGCTCTTCTTTTTATAATGTTATATGTCTTCCTTTCTTCGGAAAAAGTAATATTTTTTATCTTGTTCACAGAAAATATTTTTTTATCTTCTTTTTATAATGTTATATATATATATATATATATATATATATATATATATATATATTTCTGATCAGATACATCTGCCACGTGCCATCTTGAACAGGGTCGGGGTCTTCAACCTTTGGATCATGTTGTCTTTGCCTTAACCCAAGCTAAATCAAATTTATGTGTAAAGTCAAGGTCATTTTATTTTATTTTTTTAAAAAAAAAGGTAAAGAAAAAGCCAAAAAAAGTTTGGTGTTAGATTTGGAATCTGAAAAAATCATGAGAAATCTACCATATTCAAACTTCATTTCCCATCAAACTGTAGTAAAACATGATAGACAAACGGATTCATAAGTCACTTGGAAGTTTATGATCAGCACAAACAGAGTATTGATATTGAGAGTGATTTTATTATTTTGATTTATCGATTATAGTTTTTCTTTGCATTTAGATAAAATTTCTTAATTAAAATCACTCAGTTTTTTTCTTTAGAAAATCAAGTACCATTGTTCTTAAAAAATTTATATATATGTCCTCAGGTTGCAATTTTTTTACATAGGTCGTATTAAATTTTAAAGGAAATAACTATTTAAAAAATATATCTCATCATCTTTTATTCATTAAAAATGTTAAGAAGCATTTTATTATAATTAAATGCTACAAGTTTACACGATTATGACTAGCATTTAATTCGATCTTGATAGGTGATATGAAAATGTTTAATTGGAGAGATACAGTTTATTTTGCCAGTAATCTTTACATCTTATTTTTGTGACAAATTATTGATAGGTCAATCTTTCCTACCTTAAGCTGTTTTTTTTTTATTTGAAAAAGATTGGATGACCATGCAATTAAGTTATATCAGTTTTTGTTTTTTTATTTCTTTTTTTACAAGACAAATAAAGTTCAAGCTTAACTTAAACTATTGTTTGTTAATACACTGATTATTTATTTAACAAATTAAGATGAATGTATATACTTGGTTTATTAAAAGCTATTTTAAAAGACTACTAAAGTCAATGTCGATTTTACAATATTTCGCCTCTTTTTTTTTCTTTCAATACTTGAAATTTTCTATAATATTAATAAGGTATTAGAGTCGTAATACCTACTTTGAGAACAGTTTTTCTCTTTCACCAAGAAGTGTCCATCAAACTAATTATCACTTAATCAATTTATGTGTTTTTGTTTTTTCAATTATTTATCTTGATATCTATTTTGTGAGTTTGTAGCCTTGAGTATTTAGTTTTAAGTCCCTTTTAATTCTACTACATCGACATTCCACCTCGTTTCCACAAATTGGTTTCAAATGCAGCACATTCTCGTCTTTACTTCCAAGTGTAATCTAGATTTATACAATCAAAATAAAAAATAGTGTTGGAACCAAATTTTTAAATTTAACCACTCTTTTTTTTTATTGTGATCAATGTGTGATTTTAGTCCGTTAATCATTGAGAGAGTAAAATTCTTGTGTATGATTAAACTAAAAAGTGAGTAAGATTCTTGTGTAATCGTTGGAAACACATTATACCACAATTAACTATAAAGCATAATCTTTGGTAAATGCAATGCAATTTTATTGCATATGAATATATGAAATGGTAATTTTTTTAAATTCTTTTAGCATACAATAAGAGACAGCCAAAATTTGTGATAAGAAAGAAAAGAAAAAGTATACCAGCGCGATCAACATTGATGGTTAATTGTTTTGTGGAGTGATAGCCATACCTAATTAGTTATGAATAACACTTACATTTATCTGTTATATGTATTATTTTCTACATATGACTTCATTGAGCAATGAGGAAAATATACCAATATTGACAAAGTTCATAATAAATAATCAAGAAGAGGACAATGATGAAAGTGATAATGAGGAGTGAAACCTTAAACGTGCACCATTATTACAAGAACAAAGGCAAAGAATTTAATCACCAAGAAAAAGTAGTCAACGTCAGTGTAGAACCTGATTTATATTTATTATATTTATTATATATATATATATATAATTTTAAATTGTGAATAAAATACATCAATTTTCTCCACAACTATTCACTACGAATTCCTTAAAATGTTTAAGCTTACAAAACACAAATTAAATATTAAAAAACTAACACCGCCTGTTCCTTAGCATTTACCAATAACTTTAAACTAAATTAAATAAAACTTTGTACAATTTCATTTATAAATTTAATATTATCTTAATTTTTTATTTACATTCAAATTTTATTAATATTATTATGATAATGATTATTTAAATTTAAACTAAAACTATGTAGTAAAGTGATTACATATAATTTGAATTTATTTTAATTTTGTTATTATGTTTAATATAAGTAATTAAAAAGTTAACTGAAAGCTGGAAAATTACTTTCTAAATGAAAGTTAAAATTTCAGCTAACATATTAAATTAAAATTATTTAATAAAAATTAGCAAATAAACTAGTCGTTAAATATATAATAACGTCAAAAAATACCTGTAACGTGTGATATATATTATTTTATAAAATTTTTAAATAAAAAATCATTTTTAAATAATTATAATTTTGAGTTTATTTTAATCTCCTATCATTTTCTATTTATAAATCAATTATTCTATTGGTAAATAAAAAATAATGTAATATTAAAAATAAAAATAGGAAGATAATAATAAACAATTCAATATCTTTTTTTATCATAATATCCCAAAATAGTAAAAAATATAAACATGTCATCTAAATATATTTCATAATAAAAAAGTGAATTATAGTAAAAAAAGAGAATTTATCAAAATAGTAGATAAAAATAAAAAATTATAAATTCAAACATTACTTAAAGTAGCGCATAAAAATTATTACAAACTAATGAAATAAATTCGTTTAATAAAATTTTCTATTTTAAACAAACAAACTTATAAATTAGTTAAATTAATAAGTTATAAATTAATTAAAGTCTTAAGCAATATATTTTTATTAAATATTTACTGGTTAAACGTGAATAAAACTGCTTCTTAATTTAGTAGTTCTGACAACTGTAGAGTTCTCATTTGAAGCAATTAAGGAAGACTTATAGCCAGATTTTATAGCGTTTTTAATATTTGTCTCCACTTATCTGTTAAATTTTGAAGAGTTTATTGAAGGCTCAGACTTGTTATTCTAAAAAGAATTTAGTTAATCTGAATTGAATGTAATTTTAAAGAGTCTATCTTTCTAATTATAAATTTTTATAGTTATTATTATTATTATTATTATTATCTATTCTATGTAATTAAAAAAAATAGAAATTTGTCAAAATATATTAACTGTATCATATTTAGTTATGTTTGTACAGAAATTAACTAAAATGGAGATTGATTGGTTAAATTAAGAGTTAGGTTGTCTTTTTCTTATTTTGATAAAGTCTACTCTTTTTTACTTCTTAAAAATGAATGGTATAAGTTTCTCAAATTCTTTATATACAATTTGGAGCTTTAATTATTTTTGTACTTTTAAAGAGCCGTTTAATGTTTAATAGAAAAAAATATGTTTTACTATCAAACGTATTAAACATATATCTACTTTTGTATTTCCCAATCAATAATGTGAATGGATTACGTGAAATATATTTGACTTACTTATTTTTTAATTAAAGGTTGAATAACTAGTATATAATATAATCCAATATATTTATCTATGTTTATAGTATAAAAAAAATGTTTACTTTTAGTTTCTATTCCTATACTTTAATGTGGTTTTGTCTTTTTATTTTAATTACTTGTATTTTTTTAAATTTTTAAATACTTGAATTAAGTTTATTATACTTTTTAATTTTTAATTTAAATATCTTGAATATATTTAGTTTTAATTACTAAATAAAATTTTAGGATATATAACTTAAATCTCAGCATTTAAAAAATTATAAAAATTAAATGTGAAAAATTAAAATTAAAGAAACAAAAATATACATACATCAAAGTAGAAAAACCAAATGTACAATAATCTTATAAAAAATATTAATCACATTTAATTCCAACTGTAATCTAAATTTATACAATCAAAAGAAAAAATAGTGTTAGGAACAAAATTTGTAGGTTTTCTAGTAGTGGCTTAAATATACTTTAATTACTTTTAAATAGGATTTATTTTAAATTATCACTTATTAATTTTTTTTTATTTTACTGTCTAACTTTTTTTTTTTTTATACTTGATGTGTTAGTTAGATGGTACATGACTCACA